CGGCAAATGAAGCGACTTCTCTGTGTCTCTGCTTCCTCACCTGTAACACGCAGACAACAGATACCACTGGTGCGGAGATCTAACCTCTGACCACCGCTCAGGCGTGTGGTCACCCAGTGCCTGGCACGTGGTCAGTGCTCCATAATTGGTGGAGCGAGAGGGGCTTGTTCAAGGTCGCCCAGGGAGTTAGGCAAGGGCAGCCAGGCTGTGGTATAACGACAGCACGTGCGCATTGCCACATGCCGTTTAGAGCACCCAACCCTGCTCGCGTGCTTCCGAAGGCAGAGGGGGACGCCACTGGGTTTCCTCAGTGACCGTGCAGAGGGAAGACACACGACAGGCAGAACACCTCTGGGGGCCTGCCACCCAGGGCCTGGCTCTCAGCCCCGTGCTTGCAGGTTTGCTGCAGGAGAGCTGAGAGGGGACGACGACAAGTCGCCAGAGTGCCTGGGCGTCATGCCATCACCCCGCTGGGGAGCTGGAGCGCCACATGATTTCACTCAAGGATACAAAAGAAAAAATGGCAAGGAGCTCTGTCCCTTCTATTGCCCCCCCATCGCCTGACATCTGCACACCTGCAAGACATCCTCTTGTCACCCGAGAGATGCCACTCAGGGATCTCATGAGCTACACGAGGATGAAAGGAATCTTGGGCTCTAGTTCAGGAACGTAAAAATGCACTCTGCTCATCTGGTTTGTTCATAAAACTGTGAATGCCCTAGGGGAAACAGAAAGCTATTTTCGCAACATTCCCTAGTCTGGTTGAGATTATGTGTGGAGGAAAACATTCCCATTTTTGTCATGGCTACAGAGGTTTGCTTTTCCCGTGTTTTCATCGTCCCCCCTGCACAGCCATGCCAGGCCCTGAGGAGGGCTGGACAAGAGCGTGCTCCGAGACTGGGGAGACTGCAGTGCAGGGCTGGGGTGGGGGGGTCGTCTGCGCACCTCCGGGAAGGATGGAGGCGCCTGTGTCACCCGAGTTGTCCCATAATCCGCCTGGGCACAGGGTGGAAGTGAAAAGGCCATCTGGGAGAGGCCCTCTGGTCCCCCGTAGGCCATTCTCTCTCGTGTCACCTTTTGTGATTTTCAGAAGCAGGTGCAAAGAAGTGAGTGAGGGGTAGGTGAGCCGGGAACAAACCCGGTGCTCCCCTCAGTGAGTCATGCTTTCATCCCAGACCGCCTTCTCCCCTGACACACGTGGCCTGGGGAAGCCACACATCCCTGGAAAGGGTGTCAGGGTCTCTCAGACACGAACCAGAAACACGCTGCTCAGCGGTCGTGTCCAGTGTGACTGACTCAGTCGTGTTTTAATCTGTCCCTGCTCACTGCCTGCTCTGATGGCCTCAGAGCCCTGCCTCGAGGCCCCGGTTTGTGCCACATGGTACAGGTGAGAGGCAAGGACCGAGACCCCCCAGTTTTCCCGGCTCCTTTCCCACCAAGCACTGTGAACCGGGTGGCCTCGGCCAAATGCACTTGTCAGGCCAGGGCAACACTGACACAGTGGGGTCAAAAGGGTCATAACTTTGAGACACATCTATTGGAGGGAGGGAGGAAATGAGACAAACCAACGGTGCTTTAGAAGATCCCTTCACAAGTCAGCTGTTCTGTCGTGGGCCCTCATGCAGCTCCTGAGGCTGAGGGGCAAACCTGGATGGCGCGTATCACCCTGCCGGGCGCCTACCCAGCGAGAGCTGACTGAACCGGGGCTTGGCTGCCCCAGGGTGGCCCAGCCGCTGGCTCACTTATGACTTTGACCCACAGCCTCTGCCCATTACGGATAATGTGGGCCAGCTCCCTTTCTCCTGCAGGGGCTTTGCGTTGGGAACAGAAGTTAAAGCTGAGAGGATTGGGCGCTAGAGACAAAAGAAGAGGTGAAAGAGAAGGTCTCATCAGTGGCAAAGCCCAGGCCTCTGCCCTGAGGCAGCACCCTGTTCTGAGGACTCCTTGCATTGCCCACCAGCCTGACCCCCCCCCCCACCTCCGCTGTCTGGGCCCCAGGAGAGGCGAGATCACCTCAGCCTGAGGTTGCAAAGAGCAGAGAAGGCCAGGAGCTGCCCTGGTGCCCATGCCAGGCCTCCAGCCTCCCAGTCAGGCAGCTTCAGAGGCACCCCTCCCTCCTTCTCCAGCTCCTAGGGCCCCAAGTTCATTGAACCTCATGGGTGCAGCATCCAGGGGCCCTCAACTCCTGAGGAACCTAACCCAGCAACAAAACAGCATGCCAAATCGCCAGCCACAACTTTGTGCACGTGTACATTTGTTACGTTCGATGGGGGGGGGGCACAGTGTACAGCACTAGCTGAGACAAGCTGTGGGGAGGGTCTCCATGAAGGTGCTGGAGCCTGCAGAGGCTGGTGCAGAGTTCTGGGTGCACTGACTCTGGTGAGGACCTAGTCAGGAGGGGAAAGACCGAACTCCCTACATCTCACCTCCAGCCCCTTCCACCTAAGCCACACTGCCCAGGGATGATGGAAGAGTTGCTGGGCAAAGAACCGACTGCACTTTGGGACAGGGGCACCCAGGAACTTCTGTTAATTAAGAAGTATTTATAAGCCTTCTTCATTAGGCCTCTAAAGGAGGCCGAACAACACTAGGAGCCCAGTTTTCCAGTTTTGCTGTGATGGGCCCAGATGATTCTGATTAAAAAGGAATTGACATTAAGCAGCAGGACTGATAATGCCGTGGTAATTGGGGTCAGATAGATGACTCAAATCAAGAGAAGTCTTCCTTCCCCTCAAATTCTTCCCAAAAAGCATCTTTTTCTCCCTACCTTTGAAAGTTAATTAGCAAATGAAATACATTCAAAGCTCCTTCGCCCAGGCACAGCAAGCAGGGGCAGAACAACAGCACCTGCTCGGCTCACAAGTCCGACGTCCAAAGTAAATACACGGTCCAGTACCTGATAGAGGTGGGAGCACACCCTGGACTTCCCCAAATCACACTAAAATAACACACTTGCCCTACTGGCCCGATATCTGAGCCCTCACCTAGGGAGCCAGCAAGGGAAAGCCCCAGAGGCAGTGGTCAGGCCCACCTGCACTTCCAGGAGGCGGCCAGTGGGTGGAGGCAGAGGTTGGTGAAGTGCAAAGGGCCCGCTGCCTCCGCCCCAGCAGCCCAGGGGGCAGGCGCTAGTGGTAAGTAAACAGCCGCTTCGCAGGGACTTTTCCTACAGACAGGGAAGCAGGCGGTGGGAAGGAGCCCTGGGCTGCTGGCCCAGCAGGCCACCTTTCGAGAGGAGCGGCCCTGGGCTGGCAGTGGCGCCAGCAGGACGGCACGGGACGAGGAGACACGGGGCAAGGGCTGTCAGGCCCAGCCGCCCTCCACGCCAGAGTGCAGAGCAGGAACCGGGGTGGGCCTACTCCCGAGAGCTGGGGGCCTGGCAAGGTTCGGGCAACAGAGACTCTTCCTGGAGCAGAGAATGGACATTGTGAGCCACTGGTCTCGGGCCCTGACGCAGGTGAGGGCAACGGGGTATGCCAACCTTGGTTTGCCAAAAAAGCTGATCCCAGAGCCCTGCTCACAGACATGGTCCCAAAGTCTGGAGTGCGTCCTGGGAACCCACATTTCTGACTTGCAACCAGGCAATTCCGAGGCAGGTAATTTAAAGGCCGTGCTTGGCGTCTGGGGTCAGGTGGGCATGGGGTGGGTAACAGGGTTCTACGGGAAGGAGTGGTGGTCAAGGGCAGCAGAGAAGGAACTTGTGAGGGCTAAGGGCCCATTTCTGTGCACTCAAGAGACAAAAGTGCATGAGAGGGAGGGAGGGCTGCCTCAGTGTGTGCTGCACCCCCCTCCCCCCAGCTCCCCACCATGGGACAATCGGTTCTTCTGAGACAGCCTGACCGTGCCTCATAACCACGGCCATGCTTTTGGAGGGTCTCTGACTGATAAATGATATCTTACATTTAGCTACTTTTCCAATTAGTGGGATGCATTCTCCCTTTTAATAGATAAAAGGCCCAAGTGCCTGGGTGCTAGTCTCAGTGCACTGGTGGGTCTTGATCCTTGGCCCTTCGGCTCTGGCTCCCGGCCAGTGGATTTTAATGTGTGCATTTTAGGCAAACCATCTGATGCAAGGTGTCCTGCTCTCTGGGTGTAAACAGAAAGCTTGGGACATCAGGGCTAGATGATTACTGTTATCATCCAAGATATAGTTTGCGTGTGTAGCTCTGAAGGTCAATCACACCCAAAAGGAATTAATATATTATCAAAAGAAGAAAAATGCTTTGTCACCTCAGAACAATGCCCAGTGACGTTGCCTGCTGGGTGCAGGGTGCCCGCTGGGTGCAGGGAGGTGGGCCTCGGCCTGGAGCAGCCAGACTCCCAGGCTTGCCACACTGGTCCTGAAGCTGGCATTTAGGGTTACTGACCAGCGCTGGAAGCAATGGGTCAGTGGGAAGGGCTTGCCATACAGCACATACCCCATTCTATTCTGAAGGGAAAACGTACATCACTTCACCGTGGGCTGCCATCTGTGCAGTCTCCATATGAGCAGCGTTCCCTTTGGGGACCAAGGTAGCCCACACTGGATCGCTGCTTCCTTCAGAGACTTCTTGCTCAGGTGGCTGGCCCAGGGGTCTCGCACCAGCCTGCATCGGCTCTGGGAAGGTGGTCCGGGGCACGCAGCAATGATGATGAGGGGCGTGACTCCCCCCAGCTAACGCTGGGAAATGTGACCTGCAAGACTCTGCATTTCCATTCCCTGGATTTCTCACTGAGAGATGTTCCCTCTCTAAAAACCCCAACCACAGTGTTTGCATAGGAGAAGCCACAACTCCTGGGCCACCTCTGGTCTCATTCGGTACAACACCGGGTCTCCCTCCCGCTTTTACAGGGTAAGTGGCATGTCCCTGAGACACGTAAGACAGCTACCTCTCTCTTGCTGGGCCAGATTATTGTTAACTATTCCCTCCCCAATATAGTCTGTTGGTTTACGGAGCTCCTTAGGTCAACCATGCCCAAAAGGAACACATTAACCAAAAAGAAAGGTGTTGATGAGGACAAAATGGTGACAAAAATAAGATATCTATTTTAAAAGAGCTTTTGGTCTTCCCTTAAAGTGGGACTCTTCCTCCCTGTTTGAGGCTTCAAACGGATGGTGTTTGGTCCGGCGGTGCTCTCCGACATCTCGCCCGCCGGGGTCGGTCCTCCCCCGCTGCAGACCCCTCAGCAGGGCTCTCCTGCACAGCTATTGCGTTCCGCCCACAAAACTGCCCCACAGCTGGTCCACATGCCACAGGTGTCAATGCCTCCGAGGTCACGAGGTTTTGTCAGCCAGTCTGGACACACCTAACTGAGTCCTCACAAAACGGATCAGCTTGGTCTCCGTGAGGAACGCTGTCCCAAGAGTCATTCCCAAACAGAAGGTCCCCACGGTGACATGTGCCAGCCTGGCTGGCCAGCCCTGCTCACAGCAGAGGAACACCTGCGAGAGAAACCACCGTCACTGCCCTGGCCCCTCCATCTGTACATCCTACCTCGGGGGCAAGCCAGGGCGAGTGGAGGCCACGCTGTGCCAGCTTCGAGTCAGATAAAAGGTGTGACAGCTGCGTACCGAGGGGCTAACTCTGTGCGTACTGAGGGACTAACTCTGTTCCCACTGGTGACACTGTTTGGCCACACCTATCATCACACGCTGTCCTCGAGCCTTGGGAAGGGGAAAGCGGAGGCAGATACTTGCCCAGCTGGTTCAGGAAGAGCAGAAAGGGAAGCCCAGAGCCAGGGACAGTGGCCAGCCTGCAAAAGCATGTGGCGTGAGGGCTGCGGGGAGTCTCACCTCGGAAACGCCAGTAATCCCGCCACTGAGGGCGAAAGCCCCGAGGAGGACGGGTGATAGGTACAGGCCCGCCAGGGGCCTGTGCGGGCTCCTCTTGTAGTAGCGGTGGATGAAGCAAAGGCTCTGTGTGATGCGAATGCCCATGTTAAAGCAGTTGGCCAAGATGAAGCCCACGCTGCCGCACCATCGGGTCAGGACGTAGGATAACGCCAGGAATGAAGACGAGAGGGCCAGCATTGTGAAATTGTACCTGGGGAGCGGGGGACAAGCAAAGCAGGGGAGTCGGTACCTTGTCCCAAACAAACTGCTCCAGAACAAGTGACCGTGAACATGGAATCACAGAAAACACCTCTGAGTTGCTGTAGCCCAGCTGGTTTTCTTAGCTATGAACACTATATGGATGACATGGGAATGTCACTATCCCCCTTCCCCCTGAACAGAAGAGTGAGGAAATGAACTCAAAATATTATGGTTTTTAAGCATAATGGGTTAGTTTAAGTGACACTTTGTGATCCAAACACATAAAAATCCTGTTCAGCCCAAGTCTTCAATGTGAGGCACAACAATATGACAAGGGTAATAATTATATGTGAATGCAAACTATGTGACAGCCACTGCCGGGGTCACAGGCATACGCTGATGAGTGAACACACGTGGCCCTTGCCCTGTGAGGTCTGGATGTGTTTTACAGACAAGGAAAACCAGGCACAGGTAGGCTGAGGAATTGGCCTAAGGAGTGACCTCACTCTGGTCCCTAAACTTACGGAAATGCAGAAGCCCCATAACCTTGGCCAGTGGATTTCACTTAAAGGAACCAGCCTTCAAAATGACATGCACACAGGCAGCAAGCCCTGAACCACGTCAGTGTCCCCCAGACTCTCACACATCCTTCCCTCTGCTCTCCACATCCCCAGACGTGGATTCCTCAGTGCATGGATCACACTGCCCTTCCACTTAGCTTAGTTACCTTCGGTTCTCAGCAAGGGAAACTAAGTCTCAGCAAAGACAAAAGAGCTGCTGTAGTCCTCACCAAAAGGCTTGTGGTACAGCCACGAACAAAACTTTCCAGCATCTGGTTTCTCCCTAGTGAGCAGTAGGCGTTCTAAGTTCATCGTTGTTGAGGGAACCAAACCGTTAGGTCCCCCAGCCCTGTCTGCTGGGTTAGGGAGGCCACTCAGGTTCTGCAAACGAGGGGTGGTAAGAAAGCCACGTGTCTGTTGAATGCCCAGGTACTGGTCCTTGGGCTGACCAAGCCCAAGGTGCCTTGGAGATAAACTTTATCAGAGGGGGTGATAATAATAATACCACACACACACACACACACACACACACACACACTGTCCTCCAACAGGGGAGGTGTGCTTTTCACTAACTACTGACCAATGATCAGAAGAGCCAACTTCATAACAAGCCACTGAGGGTGGGGACCATCACAGACCAGTTAGTTATCTGACCTCTTTTCCAAAAAGAAGTAGAGATGTATGATCTTTTTTCCCCTGCAGAAACTATGTCAAATCCTTGGAGTTGAGGTTATAGGTTCACAAACTTTCAAAGTCATCCTCACCCAACTCTAAGTAAAATGTCAATAACAAATGAAATCAGTAGCTAATTCATGCTAATTCAACAGTGTGGCTTCTTTGGTGTGGTCATTTGAGAAGAGCTGATAATGATAGGGGTCCATTGTTTTTCACTAGAATAGGGCTCTGCAGCTCTTGAACTTTCCAGAACTCACAAATCTAGAGCCTTAAAAGCATAATTCACTTCAGGAAAAAAAGAAATTTAAAGATGCAATTAAAATACCACTTTTTAAATTGAATAAACCTGTCGCAGGAGGGTTCTCTTACAAATGAAAATAAATAAATAAAGCTAAGCAAAATTGCCTTGGTCTCCACAGTACACTGAAGTTTGCATAAAAGATTGGAGGTTCCTGGTTCTATCCCACAACTCTATGGGATCTGTAGAATACTGAATTTCATACAAAGTAGTCTGTAATGGTATTTATACTGGCGTATGTTAAAACTGATGGAAACTGAACATTAGGTAAAGGAGAAGAATTTACCTTGAGATTTGTAAGCTAGTAACCAACGTTAGGATTGAGAAACTGGTGGCCATCAGACAACCTTCTACATGTGAGGATAAAAAATTAAAGTTGGCTTTGATCAGAATTTTAAATGCTTTATCTGTGGTGTCTATGATCATTATGAACCCACTAGCCACCTTAGGGGAAAAAATACGGTTGGCTTTATTTAAAAGTACACCATTGCTCATTCCAAGTCTTAGGTCATCTTGGGTGAACTCATCTTATCCATTCCCACAGGCTACTGAGAAAAATCATGTAGTCGGTGTCAATACCAGTTTATAGTTTCTGATCTAATCTTATGTGTTGTCTACAGTCACTTTTCTCATTGTTGTTCAAAACCCTCAAATCCTTACCATTCCACCATAAACTTGCCAGTCCATCAATGGTGCCCACTTTGATGTCAAGCATAGCACCACACTGTGTTTCCATCCTGTCTTCTAGTAGACGAGTTTTCTGTTTCCCAGGGTGAATTTGAGTGTGGGCAACACAAAAGAGGAACTGCCCCAATTCTAACTTTGCTGACTTAACCCACAGTTTGATTTCAAAATCTAATTGCTGGTTTCCTTGAACCAGTTTTTGTATTTTTTTTTTCAGGGGTCTTAAGCTCAGTTAAATGATTTCCAGAAAACATAGCAGGCTCAGAACTTCTTGAGACCTAAATTCCTTTCCACTCAGAAAGAGATCCTAAGCCATGTATATTTTGCGTATCTTATTATACTAAAAAAAAAAAAGCCACTTTTTTAAAATCAATGCAAAATTAGTGACAATAATGACTATTCTATAAGGTTTGGTTAACATAAACAGTCAGTTATTTACAAATGCTTAGTTTTTCCATGGCCCCAAGAAGATACTGGGCTTAAAATCAGGCTTATCAAAAGATGGACGGTCAAGGATGTTGACTGTGGCAGCACCTGAAGTTAAGTAAAAGCCCATGATTTTATCAATACAGTATTTCTTTTCAATTCAGAATCTGAAATGTCCAATGTAAATCAATCATGACATTTAACTAAGCTACCCAATCCCACCATAAAAATCCTTACTAGAGTTTTATGTCTGGTTAAATTCACAGAGATGAAAAACTGCTGGTGTCTGTGATGAGCCCAGATGCCATGTGCTCAGACCAGGGCGGAACCTGGGCTGCTATGGTTAATAGATGTAGGAAGACCATGCTTAAAGTCACATTAAACTCTTCGGGGAAGTGCCTTACTGCAGATAAGAACTGCAGTAGAAGGCGCTCTGGTTCTGTCTTTTCTCTATGTTGACTACTCATACCATGAAAATAATTTTCCAGATGTTTATATATCGTCAAAATCCCATTTCAACTAACTTAAAAAGTTGTTTCTTTTCGTTCAATGCTATGTAAAAGGAAAGAAAGCAACTAGTCACTGTGTTCCTTCATGATTTGATTGTAAGATCCATTTTAACATTTTTAAGCAGGTTTAATGCTCTCTCCACACTAATGCTGAAATGATTACAACAAAATTCCCTTCAAAGAGATAGATCCCTAGTCCAGAGCTCTTTCCACCATGGCTCAGTGCCTCCTTTAGTATGTTTTACATTATATCTAAAAATTATTTCATGTTTGAAGCACCTTTCAAATAAAAACACAGTATCTCAAAATAAAACTTAAATTCGACCTTTGCATCCATGAAAAAAATAAGGGGTGGGGAGGATGGCCTCCAAGTAGTTTTACACCTATACATTTAACTATCCGAAGTAAAAACCCTATCTGGACCAATATTTGAAAATTACGGGCTGTGAGCTAAAAGTAGGCAGGGAAATCAACTGAGAGGGTCATGGCATGGCAGTTTGAAAAATGAAATATAACAGAATTAAAGGGGCGCCTGGGTGGCTCAGTCATTAAGTGTCTGCCTTTGGCTCAGGTCATGATCCCAGGGGCCTGGGATCGAGCCCCGCATCGGGCTCCCTGCTCAGCGGGAAGCCTGCTTCTCCCTCTCCCACTCCCCCTGCTTGTGTTCCCTCTCTCGCTGTGTCTCTCTCTGTCAATTAAATAAAATCTTAAAAAAAACAAAAACAAAACAGAATTAAAAACCATCAGTGTGTTTGCGCATAACAAGGGTACTTCCTGCTTCGTGAACGCTTCGCTCGGTCACGCGCACCTGAATATGTACAGCATCACAGGGCTCCATGTAGTTTTACTTATAAGCTGGTCTGGACCAGCGGTTCCTAAGGCCCTATCAGCAGAAATCTCCTGGGGCTGTGTGATGACAGATCCCTTGGCCCAAGCCCCTCAACTGACAGTTCAGTTGGTCTGGGCACTCAAGGCCTTTCAGAGACAACACAAAAGCCCCCAAAGGACCCAGGCGTCAGGGGACAAAGCAATAACAAGGACCACTTGCCCCATTACCTACAGCCACCCCCCTATTGTCTTTGCCTTCTCTCCCTCTCCTTTCCCCCTATCGATTTTATCCTTCTCAACCTCATCTGGTAGTGGTGCCTTAGCATACTGCCACGTTACTTCTGGCATTTGGGACATGCCCTGGGTGTGGGTTGGAAGCTCTAAACTAGTTCGTGTCAGAATCACTGAGGAGCTTTTAAAAAACACACATATGCTTGGGGGCTGCCGGTGTGCTAGGAGAGAGTGGTGGAGGAAGGGTAGACAGGAATCTGCACATCTAACAAGCTCCACGGGGGATTGTGACTGATAACCAGTGTTAGGAACCACTGTTTGAGGTATCAGGGCAGAGGTCCTGATCTGGGGTCAACGGATGGGAAAAAATGGTGGCAAAACGTGTATGTGCACTTGGGCCTTTCTCTGAGGAGAGGTGACACAGACCCCTGAGCTTCTCTGGGGCCTCTGAATCAGAGTCTCGGGGGTGGGACTCTGCATCTTGAAGAAGTTCCACAGTAACCCACTGGGGCGCTGGGCAAGGAAGTGGAGGAGGGGAGCTTGTCTTGGGCCCGTCTCTGTAAACCTAGACTAACAAGGCCCTTCAGGGCCCGGGTTTCTTCCTCCTCTAAAGGGAGGCAAAGGGTGGTTGCTGCCCCCAGGATGTGGGGAGGACAAGCACCGGAGCACCAGGGACGGTGCCATACTAGTGGGAGAGCGCTACCTCTAAAAGGCTTTCTGGGAATGCACGTTCAGAACGAAAAGAAAGAAGATTGACAAGGTACTTCAGTTTGGCCAAGGCTGGGATTAAAGGCGGGTCTTTATGGTTACCTACCTGTCGACCTCCTCTTTGCTCATGGCAGCAAATGTGAAACACTCGGTCACTCCGTTGATGGCAAGCAGGAGGACGTAGAGACAGTAGGAACGCAGCAAAACAGGACCTATAAAGAAACAACCGACCGAGACTCTAGAGCCCAAACAGGAGGCCTGCATGTACCAGAACCGGGTCAGGAGTCTGGCTGGTGTCATCAACAGGCAGACGCACACTTGACCTATGGTCTTAATTATCTGGAAGGACTTCCAGTACTCCATGGCACTGATTAAAATAAACAGCTAAAAAAGAAAGGGCAATTAGGAATAAACCTACAGGGGCACCTGGGTGGCTCAGTTAGCTTAGTGTCCGACTCTTGGTTTTGGCTCAAGTCATGATGTTGGGGTCTTGGGATTGAGCCCTGCTTTGGGCTCCCCGCTCAGCATGGAGTCTGTTTGTCTCTCTCCCTCCCCCGCTTATGTGCAATCTCTCTCTCTCTTAAATAAATAAAATCTTTAAAAAAAAAAAAGGAATAAACCTACAAATGTCTCGCTTAACAACTAAAAGCTTATCTGGCCAGAAAGCAAATCTTCTTGCTTTTTAAATCAGCATCCCGGGGTCCTGGGATCGAGTCCCACGTCCGGCTCCCTGCTCCTTGGGAGCCTGCTTCTCCCTCTGCTTCTCTCTCTCTCCCCCTCTGTCTCTCATGAATAAATAAATAAAATCTTTAAAAAAAAAAAGTAAAAAAAAATAAATCAGCCGAAAGAGGATCTGCTGGTTTGAGCACTCAAGGGCACTAGTGGCCTTGCATGGTAAGAGAACTCGGCTGAAGAGGTCCTGAAGACAAGACCAGGGAGAGAAGCCCAGAACTTGGGAGCAGCAAAAAACTAGAGACAGAACACACCCACAAATCTGCAGAGAGAATCAGAATAACCATGATGTTTTCTTCTAAAACATAGTGATGCAGTCCTATAGCTAACTAACAAACTTTGGAAAAATCTGCTAACAAAAGACTGGGAGCCTTAAAAATGGAATTGATCTCCTCTTTTAGGAGGGCCATTACCAAGAGGTAGCCAAGCAATTTCTAATAAAACAACCTATGACCCAGCAATCCCACTCCTAAATATACAACCAACAGAAATAAATGTACATGTTCACATAAGCATTTGTACAAAAATGCCCATAGCAGTTCTACTCATAATAGTCCAAACTGACCATCAATAAGAGAAAGGATAAACAAACTGTGGGCATCCATATAAAGAAATTTCTCAGAGAAGCAATCCAAGAGAAAAAAAGTACTGATCCATGTAAAAACATGGATGAATCCCCAAAACTGTATATTGAGAGAAAGAAGCCAAACACCTAAGTGTCCACGCTGTATGATTTCATTGATATGAAGTCCCTTTTAAAAGCAATACTAATCTGGGGTGCCTGGGTGCCTCAGTCACTTAAGCGTTCTTGGGGTCATGAGATCGAGCCCCACGATGGGCTCTGCGCTGAGCATAGTCAGCTTCTCCCTCTGCCCCTCCCCTGCTCGTGCTCTCTCTCTCTCTCTCTCTTGCTCTCAAGTAAATGGATAAATAAAATCTTTTAAAAAAATTATAAAAGCAATACTAATCTATGGTGATAGAAATCAGAACCGTGGTTGCCTCTGAGGTGGAGGGGGGGCAGTTGACTGGAAAGAGTCCTGAAAGCACCTTCTGGGGTAATGGAAATGTTGTAGATCTTAACCAGGATGTTGGCCCCCACCGATGCTTCATCCACGTCCCACACATGGAGATGGCAGCACAGGGGATGGGGGGTCAGAGGCCAGTTCAGGTCACAGGTAAGTCTACTTTCCAGGTGAGGACAAAGACCGATATGCAACTGGGACAACTGAGGCAGCAGTGTTACAAGTTCCATTTTCAAAACTCAGGCGGTTCGGTTGAGCCACAGAAAGTTGCCATTCTTTTCTGATTAAATTCAGGCTGGAGACAGTCAAGTTTTGTGGAGTGTTGTTGTTTTTGTTTTTAGATTTTATTTATTTATTTAGGTAAAAAGAGAACACACAAGTCAGGGGAAGGACAGAGGGAGAGGGAGAGAGAGAACCTCAAGCAGACTCTGTGCTGAGTGCAGAGCCCCATGCAGGGCTCAATCCCACCACCCCTGAGATCATGACTTGAGCCAAAATCAAGAGTCAGAGGCTTAATCGATTGAGCCATCCAGGTGCCCCAAGTTTTTTGGAGTGTTTAAGCAAATGAAGAAGACTAGCAGGGAGGGGAGAGCAGCACTGTTCATCTATTCCAGCACAGGAAAGGTATTCGGATCCACAGCACTAGTCCAAAGAGTCAGGAGCAGGGCAAGGAGACGCAGGGTGGCGTGGAGGCGAGGGAAGGAAAGCAGCAGAGGCCCCGGGGGGATGGACTACCAGGAGCCACTACCTGCCAGGAGCCACTACGGGCTTTACAGAGAGCTCGAAGTTTGGTCAAAGTGTAAGGCAGCTACAATGAGGAGACAAATGCTAGAAGACCCTGTTGGGACAGTGACACTGATGGAGCCCTGGGCCAGACAGAGATGACAACGGTCCTGGCTCACCAGACAGCACATTCTTGCCAGAGACTGAGAAACCAGACCATTCTTAAGACTCTCCTCTTTCAGAAGATGATACCAAGAGAATATCTTTTTGAGCCTAAAGTTATTTATTCTTCTTACAGGGTTATATTAGTTTCAGGTATATAATACGGTGATTCAACAATTTTATACATTACTCAGTGCTCGTCGTCATGTTGAGTCTAAAATTATTAATGGCTCTAACATAAGCCATTAGAAACAGAATTTACTACCTTAGAAATCAACTACCACTGACCCTTTTAACTGATAACTCTTACTACCAACGCTGAAAACTGGCACCAGCCTCTCACTCGAGCCAAAGGCCGACATAGTTCTAGACCTTCTATGACTAAGTACTCCACCAGGTGAACACTGTGCTGACAGGACAGCCTTCTCCTCATGGCCATGTCCTGTGACTGCGTGACAATAAAGGCTGTTCCCCCAATCACCTTTCTAGAGAGGCCGTGCTGCTGCGAAATGGTTGCGTGCCCAGTCTCTGCACATGACTTACTAACGGCTTCCTAATGAGCCTCCCGGCCTGCCTGATGGAAACACAGGCCTCACAGTACCAGCCCCAGGCAGCTGCGACCACATCACGGTTTCACAGCAGGGGTTTCTCCAAACTGAATGACCTTTGCTCTTGGGTAGAAACTTGACCCCTCCTCCCCTAACACCCAAAGTTTGGGCCCATTATAGTGGAGACCAAAACATGCCAGTGAACTTGTAAAATGGCATTTGACAAAGCCCTTTACGTTGAGATGGAGCAGCAGAAAGAAGTCTTCAGAGTTCTTGTCTAGTGACCCGAGGAACTGAAAAATCTTTGTCGAACCCAAGATGAAACAGACTGCAAATGGACTGCCAGCCTATGGCCCAGCACATTTTGAAACTGGTCAAGTCCCCAGAGCCTAGCAAGTGCTGTGAGATGCTCAGTGGCATGGACACCAGGTGTTTCTAAGTTAGATATACTCGATACTTTTGTCCTTCAAAAACCAAGAGTCACTGGATTAAATATACCATTTTGCTTGCTGAGATCAATTTTGTTCTCTGCAAATGGCTCTGAGTTATCCTTCAGAGGCTCATGCATCAGGCTGTGAGATTTATGTGGCATTTACTACCTTCAGATGTGCTCAGTATCAAGCGGAGACTCATTAGAGCCAGCTCTTTGCCTTCTTCCCTCAGCCCAGAGGGTGCACAGGGAAGTGCCCAGCAAAACACATTTTAGGCCTGGGAGGAGAGCCAAGGATGAATAATGACTTCTCTAAGTGAGACTAGGGGACGGACTGCCCTGGGGCCAAAGCCCCCAGATGGCACTGAGCTGTTTCTGACCTCGTGTGAGGGCAATGGTCTCGAAGCCCCAGCCATGGACAGCGCTCCCTACACTGACAGATACCAACCTGTGTGCACACAAGTTCTTGAATTTCATAAGACTTCTATTTCTGTTTGGAAATTAGAACAAATCTGGCAAAACTCTTGTGCATACCTGATCCAGAGCTAAGCATGGCCCCTCCATAGATATCCAAAGCCAGCTGAGAATAGGCAAAGCCAAAAATGGTGATGGTCAGGCCGGTCAGCAGGGCCAGCCTGAGCAGCGACTCCAAAACCGCAGCGGCCATGGCAACGTCCTCCTGGGGCGGGGGGCAGAGGGAAGGAAGTTGGATGAATCATGAGCTAAAGAAAAACTTCACATCTGGCCGTCTCTGCTGTCTTACAGATCACTCTTTCAACTGCTGAGAGGCATCCCCACTTTTCTGCAGCCTGTGTTTGTTTTCATGTCAGTTAACATGAAGGAAATGAAGGGGAAAAGTCAATCTGTGCCTCCTTAGGTACTGCAGGGGAGGGGTGGTTTTTAGCTCATTTAGGATACGTTATTTCAAAGGCTGCTTAGGAAACATTCACTTTCTCTCCGATATTTATTCTTAAAATGGACAGCAAGTTTTTACGTTGCTAGCTGGCTAGCTTTGTCAGAGTTCCTCTCCTGACAAACATCTCCAAATCCTGACGTTCCTGTCAAAGTATGCTTAGGAAAATATTCCTAAATCAACTGAGAACCAGATTAGTTCATTTTGAGATATTGTGCATGAATTATATTTTGCAAAGTGTCTTCTAAGACATGTAAGAGGCCAACTTAGCTTCCTTTTAATTCTCCGATAAGTCACACATTTTCAATGGTTTTAGAAAAAGGGAAGTTTCTGCAACCAAATACGCCTGGATTAAAATCTCTTCTGCATTTGCCAGTCAGAGCAGGTAGATTCTCACGGTCAGAGTGCATCTGGGCACTTCACAATCTTTAAGAAGCTTAAACAACTGGTGTGGTGCGTGGAATCAAATGGCCGTGTCCTTTCCTCCCCAAGCTGTAGGCGAGCCTTGCTCCAGCCCCTACGTCCTTGGGCTCACCTTCGGTTCTTGAGAATGCGAGGGTGGAGGAGGCGGTCTTAGTCTTCCAGCTAAGCCCGGACCATGGGAAGGGGGTCTGTGCCACACTGGGGGTGGCTGCAGGGGGCTCTGGGCCAAGAATGAGGTCACAGAGAAGGAGGAAGGGTAAGAAGGGAAAGGCTAACCAGGGCAAAGGGAGGAGGCTGCGAAAGAAGTGAGCTCAGAGCCCTGCCATCATTCAGAAGGTGGCGGAGGAATGAGGCCTAGAAGGGAATTTCAAACAGAGGGAAACCGACTGCTCCACGTTTTAGTCTGTTTATCCTGCAACTGGAGAATTCACTTGAGAGATAGTGACATTAGAACCAAGACTACCTGCTTCTGGAGTGTGGCATCCTTTCCTCTCTCCAGCACCTTAGCGAAGAATATATAAAAGCTCTCCTCTATTGGCTGGAAAATTAACCTGGCCACAAGAGAGCCAAGATTATTCACTATATCATATACACCTAGAAGACAAAAGGGAAGAAACAACAATCCTTCCGGTTTTTCTATTTGAATTTTCACAGCGCCATTAACATTTTTTTCTGATTTCATTTTTTTAATTAAACTGTTTGAGATAATTACAGACTCACATGTAGTTCTAAAAACTAACAGATCCATTACCCAGTTTCCTGAACAGTAACATCTTGTGAGAGTATCGCACGGTATCACAGCTAGGATACTGACGTTGACACAGTCAAATACAGAACAGTGCCATCACCAGCACCTTTTTATAAAAATCATTAATTCTCTAAAAAGTCTTTTTAGGCCAGTGAAACTATTTTGCATGATACTATATTGGTGGCTATGTGTCATTATACGTTATATATTTGTCAAAACTCATAGAATGTACAACACCAAGAGTGAAACCTAACGTAAACTACAGACTTTGGGAGATAATGATGAGTCAGTGTAGGTTCACCAGTTGTAACAAGTGTACAACTCTGGTGCAGAATATTGATAACTGGGGAGGTTGTGAATGTGTGGGGTCAGGCAGATGTATGAGAACTCTCTGTACTTTTCACTCAATTTTGCTATGGACCTAAAACTGTGCTAAAAAAAAAAAAAAAGCTTATTAGTTTAAAAAAAAAAATCATTAATGCTGGGCGCCTGGGTGGCTCAGTCAGTTGAGTGTCCAACTCTTAGTTTCGGCTCAGGTCAGGGTCCTGGGATCAAGCCCTACATTGGGCTCCATGCTCAGCAGGTAGTTAGCTTGAGGATTCTCTCCCTCTGCCCCTCCCCTCACTCTCTCTCTCAAATAAATAACTAAATCTTAAAAAAAGAAACCATTAATACCAAGTTGATTTTTGAAAATTTTTTTTCCCTCTACTGCAGGATTACAGTTAAAAATAAATATGAAGAGGGGCGCCCAGGTGGCTCAGTTGGTTAAGCGTCTGACTTCAGCTCAGGTCATGATCTGAGGGTCCTGGGATCAAGCCCTGTGCTCAGATGTGAGTCTGCTTGAGGATTCTCTCTCTCTCCCTTTCCCTCTGCCCAGCCAGCGCTTGTGCTCTCAAATAAATAAATTTAAAAAAATCTTAAATAAATAAATAAGAAGAAATTATTGAGACCTATCTAGCTGCACAAACACAGGGCGGATCTGGGATTGTGATGACGAAGCTCCCTTTTCTCTTAGCACCCCAACCCTGCAATGGACACCAAAGCTCTGCAGAAACCAGGGGAACTCAAAAGAGAACGTGCCACCTGAGTCACACGAGAGGGGGCAGTCAGAACACTGTAGATATTTGCAGAGGCTTGCAATTTTCAATCTTCAGGAATCATTTTATTACAGTCTTCATCTTTTAGAATCATCAGGCTTATTTTTCATTAAATGTATCAAACTGCTGAGAAAAATATTAGAAAGTATCTACTAATGGTATTCACTACAGAATTCTCAACTTACCCTGATCGCCAAAATTTAACACATTCAAAAACGTCATTACGTAGCGCTCGCCTACAAACAGAGAAGCAAAATAATTAGCATTTCAAGGGCACATTATTCTCGTTTCCTTTTTTCTTATCATCTATCAATTCTCCAACCGGCAAATACTCTCAAAGGAAAAAAATTATATAATCAATTAAAGATACCTTCCTTGTCCTAATGTTGATTCATCTCAAAACAGTAACAATTGGGAAAGTGCTGGGGGATTTATTGACAGCAAATCTCCAAACCAGTTAAATTAAAAACAAAACAAAATCAATAAAACCAGTCTAATAACTTAAAAAGGTGGGGGGGGGTTCAGAGTGCATTTGGGCACTTCACAATCTTTAAGAAGCTTAAACAACTGGTGTGGTGAGTGAAATCAAATGACCATGTCCTTTCCTCCCCAAGCTGTACGCGAGCTGATGAAAATGATTAATAATGAAAATGATTGTCTCAAATTTTAAATGTAAGTTCTGTGAAATGAGAGGTCCATGGTCATGTGCACAGACTCATCAAGTTGTCTCCCTGGGTGGAGATAGCTCCATGGAGGCTGGAAAGGCTCTGGAGCCCAAGCTCATGATTCAAATATAAGACAGGCTAATGCCTTCAAGGTGAAGACACCAACCCAGAGCCCCACCCCCACCTTCCATACATTTTCTTATCTGTCAGTGGAAAACACAACCCACCATGGAGATGGAGCTCTGGAGTGACCACAGCTCTAAAGGGCAAAATCTCACCTCCTAGCAACCTGCTCAAAAAGGAAAGCAATATTCGGTCCTGGCCTCCCTGCACTCTCCCAGACTGTGTCTGTGGCAGGGGCCTCTGCAGGCCCTCCCAGGCCAGGCATGGCCCACAGGACGGCACTCACTCCTATCTGCATCTCTGCACTGCTCTGATCCATCCTCACTGCTAACAGTCCTGGCTTCAGCAATACAGATCTTAAGGCAACCCCTGCTTCCACACCTTTAAATTGCTCTTTGCTGTTTGCAAAAAGTCCAGGCTCCTTAATTCTGCATTTGAGGCCTTTTATAAGTTGACCCCAGGCTATCTTTTTGGCCTTTCTTCACCAACCTCATCCCCACCTCCCAGCATTACATTGTCATCCTCTGCTTTACCGGATCAGGTTTTAGCCCCTCCAGCTGCTCTGCTTCAGGCTGGGCCCCTCCTGCTCCCAGCCTCGGGTCTTAGCATGCTAGCTACCTAGACTGGCTTCTCCTTAGGGACCTCCCTGTGCTCTGGTACAATCGGCCTCTCTTCCCACACTCTGTAAGCTCCCTGGGGGCAGGAACCACATCTCCCTCCTTTCTCTGGCACAGAGCTTCAGGAAATGCAAGGGCACTTGAGAGACGCTAATGTTTCCAAGTACAGACCTCACAGCCCTGATTCAGAGCTAACCACACAAAAGTCTGCATCCTGGGTAAGAGAATGAGCTGCTTCAGGCTGTGGCCTGTAACTCATTCATCTGTGTATTCTCAGCACCTGGCACACAGTGTTCAGGAAATGTGGGGGCAGAAGGTAACAGCATCTATATTTTTGCTATTACAATGAATGATTTCAACTTTTTTTTAGAGTTGTAGTTTTTAGATAAAAAGAATTTGGGGGTGGGGGTTCCTGTCCAGTCACTTCCTTATTTCACAACGATGGAGATGGAAGCCCCAAGAGGTTCTTAACAGCCCTCTGCCAGTCAGGCCAGGGTGGTCCAGCCACGGAGAGAGCGAGCAACCGGCAGCACACTGAGGCCTGGCCCACTTACACCTGCTGCAGTCTAGCCACTGTGGTCCAGACAACCAATTTAGGGCCATTGCTTGGACTGGATCCATTCCTCAACTCATTTAAACTGTTCTTAAAACTTTGGGAGGAAAAGAAAGTGCAAATGCCCTTTCCAAGTTCCCTCTACTGGTTTTCCTATTCTAACAATGTGAACTATCACAATATACAATTTTACTACAGATACCTTTCTTTATCGAAAGATACTTGTTGAACACTGATCATTTGCCAGTTCCAACAGGGTATTGGGGAGACAGTGGTAAACTGCACATCCTGCTCCCAAGAAACATATCATTAAGGCACCTTCACTCAGCTCTCCAAAGGCTTGTGACCCTTACTTCCCCCAGGGGTCCTGTGAACAAGTTCCACTTTTGTAATGGCAATGTTACAGGCTCAGGCTAGAATTAAGCACTCTCAAGGCTCAAGGCTCAAGAGCCCTCAGACCCCTCCTGGTCCTATCCCTTAACTCACAGATGGGGCAAGTGACGCTTAGGGAAGTTACTCCCCTTTGGAAGCATAATTAACAAAAAATAAAGACAGAGAGGGGAAAAGGGAAATAATAAGGTAATAATGATGGTTGTATTAGAATGCTAGAATCATAGGAAACTTTTTTCTATTTTCCAAAATTTTTGTAATGAGATTATACTATTTTTATAATTAAAAGGCAATGTTTGGGACACCTGGGTGGCTCAGTCAGTGAAGTGTCTGCCTTTGGCTCCGGTCATGATCCCAGGGTCCTGCGATGGAGCCCCACATCAGGCTCCCTGCTCAGCGGGGAGCCTGCTTCTCCCTCTTCCTCTGCCTGCTGCTCCCCCTGCTCGTGCTCTCTCTCTCTCTCTCTCTGGCAAATAAAGAAATAAAATCTTTAAAAAATAAAAATAAAAAAATAAAAGGCAATGTTTGAGGGGTGCCTGGATGGCTCAATCAGTTAAATGACTGATGCTTGATTTCGGCTCAGCTCATGGTCTCAGGGACATGAGATTGAGCACTACATCTGGCTCTGTGCTGGGGTGGAGCCTGCTTAAGATTCTCTCTTTCCCTCCCTCTGCCCCCGCCCTGCAGCTCATGCACACCCACGTTCCCCCTCGCTCTCTTAAAAAATAAAAATTTTTTTTAAAGATTTAAAAATATGTTCAGTAATAGATATAGGGATGTATATACATATGAAATTTAGAGAGAAACCACTACGTTTACCCACTTCTAGCTACCTCAAATCTCATTCTTCGAATTAAAGCTGGGCATAAATAAACCAATACACATACACAGAAAAACTAGATGTACTTTCAGCTCCACGCCAGCCCTCTGTATAGAGAGCTCTGTCACTGTTAAACTGGAAAGCCTTAAGAAATTGGAAGTCTCAGGGCGCCTGGGTGGCTCAGCTGGTTGGGCGACTGCCTTCGGCTCAGGTCATGATCCTGGAGTCCCGGGATCGAGTCCCGCATTGGGCTCCCTGCTCAGCGGGGAGTCTGCTTCTCCCTCAGACCCTCCCCCCTCTCATGCTCTCTCTCGCTCTCATTCTCTCTCTCAAATAAATAAATAAATAAAATCTAAAAAAAAAAAAAGAAATTGGAAGTCTGGCCAAAATATCACACAGGTGAATCTTATTACTTAACAAAATAAAATGATGAAAACACAGTTCTTAAAAGTTATGTTCAAAAAAAGAAGTGTACAAAAAGTTAGAATAGGATAATGAGATTATGGATCATTTTCTCTATTTTCCAAATTTTCTTAAATCGATATAAAACTTCATAATACATTTCTTTAAATGATAAAAACATGGGGCTTGGGAATTAGACTTGGCTTCAAGGTAAGTTGTCCCTCATTACTATAGGACCCCTAGGAGTTATGCAACAGCACTACCCCTCACTATCAAACTAAATCAATGTTGGTTTCTCTCTCCCTATTTTAAAAGCTTCCATTTCTAAGGTTCCTCTGCCCACAGGGGCTCTAGAAAGCAGGAAGTCTGGGTATAGGTAATCCGCAGTTCTGTGGAATCCCCTCACTTACACTATGGTGTTCTACCTGCTCAGAGTGACCTTCTACTTACCTTCTGTCAAAATCTGCTTCAAGAAAGACTGTTTGAAAAAACTCCAAGTCAATTTAGCCTCTTTCCAATTTACGAAAGCCTAGAAGAGAAAACAAAACAAAAACAAAAGCTCCTAGGCACTGCGAGTATATGAGTACAAGAAGCCTCCACAAGAGGCAAACTCATCTTGGTCCCTAAATCCCAACTTGGAGAGTCCCCACTCATTTTTCATTTAATGCTAAGCACACAGAAGACATCCAACGAATCCTGGCAAAGGTTTTCCATTGCTAAACACGAAGACAAAGTCTCTAGGTGGAAAGAGCGTCGGGGTAAGGAGACTGCCCGAGAGTCATTCCCTGAGACCCCTAAGGAACTGCACTGTCCCCTCACTGCCCACCCAGATGGTAAGCCGAACATATCTAGCACACACAACTCAGAGTCATTTCTTGCCTTAAAAAATGTCTGAAGCATGCCAGCTGCAGAACAAATTCTGCTCCATACACCCCACATCTTAATGCATTTAGCCACCCAGGGTCCCTTTACACTCAGTATATGAGCTTTGTTTGTGCATTTCAAAAGGAAGCCAGGCTTCCTAGGAAGGTCAGTCAAACCGCTCAGAACTGGTATGACAGAGGAAAGGAAAAAACAAACCCAGAACTTTTGATATGGTTCTTCCAAAACTGTCCCATTTCCTAAGGACAGGAGGGTAAGAAGAAAGCAAACATTCAGGAAGGGCAAAGGTCAGCGTGTTAGAGGCAGGCGGTCTCAAAGCCAGATGGCTGACCACAAAATGGAGGAGTGAGGCAGCTAGCTGGACAAGACCTCTGTCTTAGTATCTCCCGCAGTCCTCTCTAGAGGCCCCTCCTCTCTCATGGAGGCGTCCTGGGATCCCAGAATGTTCAGTCTAGGTGTTAGGTGCTTAATCTCAGGGTACCTGCATTTTTAAAAATTCTTATTAACTCAAAATGATGACTTTAAAGGTAGGATTTCAGGGGGCTCTTTGGGAGGAAAGGGGTGAATCACAAAGGCCAAGCCCACTCTACCTCTCCAAAAGATCAGTTACAGCTATGGAAGCTGGCCGAAGGGCAGATGTAGAACCTGTCCCAGTCACATGGGCCCCTGATCTCAGACCAAAGCCCATTTGTGCAGAGTACTGCTGTCCAGTGGGAATATAATGCAGGCTACACATAGAATTTAAAACTTTTTAGCAGCCACAGTGAACAGTAAAAAAAAAAAAGGGGGGGGGGAAATTATTTTAATATATTTATTTAACCTAAAACACGATCATTTCAACATGTAAATAAATATTAGAGGCATTTCATATTATTTTTTTCATACGAAGTCTTTAAAATCCAGTGCTTGGGGTGCACGTACAGCCCATCTCAATTCTAAATGCTCTATAGCCACACATGGCTGGTGGCTACCATTTAGGACGGAGTAAGTCTAGAGTATCCCTTGAAAACAAGGTCATATTCAGTGTTCAAATCTCTTCACCCCTTGGTTTCAGAGCCTTTCTTCCAGACACTGTGAAGTCAGGCCTGAATCCTCCCAAACCATGCTGCCCTCAGAGCCTCACTGGACCTGCAGCAGATGCCACCGCGAGCTCTAGTCCAGAAGCAAATCTCCCCTCTCGCTGTACAAGAAAATTAGTTATCTCCTTTCCCCAGAACAAAGAGTGCCAGAGCATTTACCACCCCTAGGGGGCACTGTGAACCACATCATCCCCAGCACTGATCCCGCCCTTAGCTCCAGGGGAGGCTTGGGCAGCAGCACCTTCTCTGTCACACTCTGTGCCCCCACACCAGGTGGTCCCCTGGGGGGGCCTGGGCAGCAGTCTTGTGCTCTCTTCCAAGGAAATGAACAGTTACAGCTGGCCAGAGGGTCTTCGTGGAGCCTCCTTGCCAGAGGTTGTAAATGGGTTTGGGAACATGACAGAGCTCTCTAAAAAAAGGTTGTTTACCAGCATGTAATCTTCACACCGTATCTGACCTGAGACCTCATGCAGGAGCATCCCATTCTCCCAATGCCTTCACTTTAAGTAGACCCACGGTTTAGAAGGAATGGTCACACTGCTTATCTCCAAAATGCTCACTCAGGACATAGAGGCAGGAAGTCTGATCAGAGATTGGGTTTCTTCTCAGAGGTGTTTGCTAAGTGGTAGAAAAGGAGCAGCTTATTCTTTGGGCTTTCACCATTTTCTTTAGAATGGATTTGTCACTTGGGAGGTCAAAGGAGGCCTATTTCACAAGAGCTAAGTTGATACTGCTTAGCTGGTCTTCATGGCTGTGCATTTCTCTGGAATCCTCTGACCAACAAGCCATTCCACTGCCTCACTGTACTGGTGGAGAAACTGAGGCATGGATGGCAAAAGGTGATGGGCAGTATCTCAGGGGAAGGTCTGCAGTCAGAACTCAGGGACTCATGATAGAGTGAGTCAGTCTTCCCCTTCCCAAAATTCTTCTGCCCCAGGATGGTCCAGTAGCCATGTGCCTCCCACACTGACAAGAGTCATGGGGGGGGGGGGTCCGCAGCCATGGTCCTGTGTTCTGCCCCGTATCACCTCCACATCCCACATAGGACCCCGTTCCCTCCCTCTTGCTCTGGGGCCATCGACCCTGGCCCAGCTGTGTCCACACTCACACGTCCACCCACCCCCCCACTGTCCTCATCACTCTCATTTGGACAACTACCACTGCCTCCTCTTGAGCTCTTTCACCTCCAACCTTTTTTCTAGACCATCCTTCTCCTGGGAGGCTTTGGGCTTTGGAGTCAAGCTCAGACACTGAGGCTCAAGCTGCAGCAACCAACTTCTAAATGCAAAAGCTATGGGTAAGACACCTAATTTTGCTAAGCCTCCGTTTTCTCATCTTCAAAATGGGATAAGGAGTCCTATCTCCTGGAGCTGGTCTAAGGACTGAAGGAGAGAAAACGAGACACTCGATAAATGTGAAACAGATGGTAAGCGCCTCAACATAGGCAATCGGATCACGGCACTGTTCACAAACCTTTCACTAGGCTCCCCTACCCCTGAATCAAGCCTGTACTCCAGGGCACTGAGGCCACCACTGCCTGGCCCGAGCCCTGCAGGCCATAACCTCCTCCCACCTTTTGTTCCCTCGCCCCTCCCCCACTGTCCAGCCAACCAAGTACCGCAGTCATCTCTGCAATCTCAATGCCAACACAGCGGTGGGCATATAATGGGCCCCAAGTAAACATTCTTTCTTCCCAAAGCCACAAATGCACATTTCCACCACATGTGCACATTCACCTCTGCCTGTCCATGTGTCGAGGCCCAGCTCAAAAGAAGCTTCCTCCAGGAAGCCTTCCTCGATGTTCCCACATGGAATTCATGTCCTTTCTCTGGGCTTCTATTTTGTTAGCACTACACACACACTGTCTTGCAGTGGTTAGCTGAGTACACACCTTATCTCCCCTCCACGATGCAAGTTCTGAGGGTGGGGACCCCACTCAGGGCACCTGAAACAGTGCTTAACACAGAATACTGCTTATTACATGCTTGCTGTTTAAATTCCTCAGCTTTACTTAAATATTAGCAGATCTCTCCCATGAAATCACTCAGAAATGTCAAAGAATATAAAAGGCAAACATTATTTGAGGTATCATTTATTTTAAGGCTAAATAAATCTCTTTACAGAAGATGGGATTCTACAAGCACAGGAAACAAATCTCCCAATGTGGTCAAATCGGTTTTGGATGTAACTGCTTGAGCAGCTCTGTCTGAGGGAGCCCCCAGGGCACAAAGCTGCTCCCGAGAGTCAAGTTGGGCACACTGCTGGTGGTAAAGTCATCCACTGCGTTCAGATTCACCTCACTTCTTTTCTCTTTTACAAAAAATAAACTTGAATAATGAACTGTTCTAGCTGGAACTTCCCAATTGTTAAGCCAACAAATAACTACTTTGGGCAATAAGCCAATTTCTTTTGGAAGACTACTCAGCAGAGAGCTTAAACACGAAGACTAAGGACAGTCCACAGACACAAGTTCGAGAGAAGTAGGTCCCAAATCAAGTGTGTGATGTTGGTTTGGTCACTCAACTCCTCTGAACCTCAGTTTTCTCATTTGCAAAATGGAGACCATATCTCACAGGGTTACTAGGGTGGTTCAACATACAAGTCCATGTCAAGTGCTCAGCATAGTGCCAAGCAAGGGTAAACATGCAGTTCATGGTAGTTATTATAAACAGCTTTGTCCAAGTTCAAATACCTTCACAATTCCTTAAGTTTTCAAAGGGGCCTCATGGGTCGGGTAGACCACTAATCTCACCTTAAAAATAAGGACCCTGAGGTCTGGAGAGAGTCCTACAGGCTTTATATCTGCACTCACTGCCTCCCAAACACACAGGAAGCTCCCCGAGGCCCAGCAATCACCTTCCTACATGTCTGTATCCCAGATGGCACCCAGCATGGGGCTGTGCTCTGTCTGTCAGCAGGAACCGTGCCACTGTGTAAGACAGGTACACATCCCTTCTCACGGTCAAGGCCTCTGTCCCGGCAGTAGGAGCCTGGGTACTTGCAGGATGGAAGGCCAGGTTAAACCACTGAGCTCCCAGCCCAGTGCCGTCAGACACTGCTGGGCTAGGCTCTGCCGTGGAGCCACTCGTCACTCATGGACAGCCACTTGTGTCCGCCGCAGTATTCAGTACCTCCCATGCCCCTTTTCATTGCACTCCCACAAGCACCTTAGGGGAGAAGTACTCTTAGTATCCCCACTTGACAGATAAGGAAACCGTAGCTCGGAGCTGTGAGCCTACCACTGAATTAAATACACACTATGGCTCTTTTCACTATGCTCTGTCTCCTTGCCTGTATTAATGGTCCAAATGCTCCTTTCCAAAATACTGCTGGGCACCGGGGCTGGCCCAGTATGAAAAGCTGGCCAGGCCTGGTACAGATGGAACACTGGGGAGCACTCTCAGACCTGCTCTGTGGGCAGGTGGCCGCAGCTCCGGGCACAAGTGATCCCAAGTCCTTCTCCTCTAAGCCTTTAGAGGAGGCACTGTTGTATCCCAAAACTGCCATGTCGGTTTAGGTTAAAGGTGAGATCTGTTTGATAAGAATGGAGAACTCTTACCTAACAAATGAGAACATATCTTTCTTTACATAATATCTGGTCTTTCTTGAAAAGCTGGGTAACAGGATTCCATAAGTTCTGAAATTTACGTCTCAAACATTTACTACTTTCTCAAGTAATCACAAAAGAGGAATAAGGAGAAGTCCAGCTGAAGCCTTACCTCAGCTACGTGCACCACATCTAGCCGGCAAACGAGCATGGGGAAAGGGAAAGCGGGCCGGCCCCGTTCACAAAGCAGCTGAGCAGAGGCAGTGACGCATAACGTCACGTGTACCACTCCGGGGCCACAGACAGTAGCCATGACCCCACCAGAGTCAGGAAATAAAAGTCAAATGGACCGAGAGTTGAAGGGTTCAGAAGAAAAAGGTTATGCCTCGCTCCTACACATCAGCACCTAGAATCCTCAGTGGTGTCCACGGGAGAGTGGGTCACTGGAAAGACCAGCCTGACTCTAGGTAACAGAGCTATGCAGGGGTCATCCCTGCTTTGTCAGCACGCTGGACTCTCTGTGCTGGAAGTCAATCCTGGGAAAAACCAAGACACAGCCGAACAGAGAGACTGGCACATGGTAGTTATAGCCTGTGCTCCGTGCGGGTCAAGCCACTCCAGGCCCCTACCCTCACTCTGACCCTCACCTTGGGCAGAGAGTTAGTCTCTAAGCCTCAGTTCCTCAACCCTAAAACAGAAATAATAAGGTCAGCCTCACAGAGTTGGTATAAACTTTAAATATAAGGCAGGTAAAGCATTCAGCATAGTGGCTACACAGTGGTTCTAAACGGGGTCAGTGTTGTCCCCCATGGGACGTTTGTCCAGGGAACATTTTTGGTTATCATAGCTGAGAGGCGGTAGCTCCTGGCATTTAGTGAGTAAAGATCAAGAGTGCTGCTAAACATCCTACAATGCACAGGAAAGCCCCCACGACAAAGAATTATCCAGCCCAAAATGTCGGTAGTGCCAGGGCTGAGAAGCCCTGGCCTAGCACACAGCGAGCACTCAGTAAATATGAGCTATGAAATTATCCTTACTACTTTAGCAATAAATGAGAAGTAACAGTTTCCTTCTTTCCAGGATAATCAGCATCTGTGATTAAAATGATAAGAGAGAGAGTATATTACTTACTCTACTTCTTGTAATATTGGGTAAGAGATCTGTTATTCTGGAGACGGGAAGAGTCTGTTGCTTGGTCGATTCTGAGGAGCCCAATAACTTTGTGAAATAAATAACATAGCAGAGCACCAGAACTGCAGTATACAAAAGCTGAAAAAAGAAAATAATGGATTTAAGTGGCACTGTTTTAATATAGGCAGAATTAAGATATGCCTGGAAACTTGACCTCAAAGGCCAAACTAGAAAGAGGACTGTCTTTATGAACCATACCTTCTAGTGAGCAATGCCTCCCCTCTGGGGAAGAGCACTGCTCACGAGGAGCCAGCTCCACTGCGGCATCTCTGGGGAAAGTGCTCCAAGCATGTCACCTAACTGGGAGAACGGTTCTTCTGGGCGGGCAGAACATCATTTCCCTGACAGACATCCCCTAGTGCCACCACCACAGCAATGTCAGACGTGTTCTCAAAGGAAGGCCTCTCCCGCCTCAACAGCACCCTGCAAGGACCCCCAAGTCCTGTGCTAATATGCAGAGACTTGCTGTCCTAGATGACGGGGGCTTTCCCATAAACCCGTAAGCTGTGACACGGACTACGAAGCAGAACTGAGCTGTTGGCTCCCTCCTCTCTGCCCAGTGCATGGGCAGGGCAAGAGCCACTCCAGGATGGGGGAGGGACTGGGGGGTGCGGGGGTGATAAGAGGGCCCACCCTTCCCTCCACACAGCCAAGACAAAAGGGTGGCTTTTGGCCAGGAGCCGAAGCCTGGGGTTTTGTTTGCAGGTTGGGAGGAGTATCCAAACAGCCCCTTTCACAAGCTCCCTTCTGTCTTCTCTCCCTGCTGGGAACAGCAATGCACATTAGCTCAGGAAGGAATGGGACCTCCATGTCCCGCTTTTCAGTCTTGGAAACGCTAAGCCTGCTCCTGTGGCAAAGGCAGGGAGCAAGGAGAAAGGGGAGCCTTGTTTAGCAGGTTCGGGCTCCTCGGCTTTCCACCCTTATCCGTGCCTGAGGACAGAGCCCACCATCCACCGTCCTCCTCCATGCCTCAAGCCCTGTAAGAAGACACAGCAGCTCTGCTGTGAGCCATACCACCAGTTGCAACATCCTCTGTGACAAGAGGACTCCCTTCCCCACCTCCCCTCATCTTCCCACAGACCAGTGCCTGGGGAAATAGTAACAACCTATGGGTAGTCTTCATGCAGGGTATCCTAACTACATGAGCCTTCCCCCATTTTTATTGAGGAAAAATTCACATAACACTGACTGTTTTAACCATTCTAAAACATACAATTCAGTGGCTTTTAGTACATTCACAGTGTTGTACAATCACCACCATTATTTCATTCCAGAACATTTCCATCACTCCAAAAGGAAATTCTGTGCCCATTAAGCAGTCACTCTCTGCTCCTCCATACCCCAGCAATCAAAATCTGCTTTGTCTCTATGGACTTGCCTATTCTGGACACTGCGTATTAATGGAATCATGCAATTGGTGGCCTTGTGTCTGGCTTTGTCCACTTAGTGTAACGGTTTCCAAGGTCATTGTGCCGTGGCACGTGATCGTTTTTATGGCTGAGTAATATTCTGTTGCACACATATGCCACATTTTGCTCATCCCATTCATCAGGTGGTGGACATCTGGCTTGTTTCCACCTTTTGGCTGTGGTGAATAGTGTTGCTGTGAACATCTGTGTACAAGTTGTATGAACACGTTTTCAATCTTTTGGGTATATACCTAGGCCCAGATTTGCTGGGCATATGTCAGTTCTACATTTAACTCTTTGAGGAACCGCCAAACCGTTTTCGACAGTGGCCGCACCATGTTACATCCCCACCAGCAATGTGTGAGGACTTCAATTTCTGCATATCCATGTCAACACTCGTTATTTTCTGGTTTTTTGATACAGCCATCCTAATGGGTGTAAAGTAGTATCTCATTGTGGTTTTGATTTACATTTGTCTAATGACTGATGATATGGAGCATCTTTTCATGTGCTTATTGGCTATTTATTTGGATATCTTCTTTGGAGAGATGTTTATTGAGGTCCTTTGCCCCCTTTTTGGGTAGTCTATCTTTTTGTTGTTGAGTTGTAAGAATATATATTCTAGTGTGACCCTTTCATTTAATATATGATGCCATGTGGTAAGGGGCTGTTTAAGGAGGAACCTGGAGGTGGGTTGGACAAAGGGGAATCCCAGAGCCCTGGTGGGGATTGCCTGCTGATATGAGGTGCTGTTGGCTCTTAGACCTCTCACACAGACACTGATAAAGACTGTACCAGAGAAGAGCTCTCTGAAGTCTTATAATAAGAAAGCAAGTAAACTCAGAATGGGCCTTGCTGACCTGGGCTGTATCCTGGGTGGGAGCATCAGAAAGTCATAATGCAAGTGTCTTTCCCAAAAGGAGTCAACCAATAACTGGGCATCTTCATGCCCTCCTGTTCTATTAGGGAGAGTATATAAAAAACACAATGAATGTGGAGACCTGTAGTTCCAGATCTAATAAAACATGGCAAAAATAATTCTTCCTCTAAGATACACAACTATTTGCAAACTGCTTTTAGGAGGCAATTCTCATTCTTATAATATTGATTGGAAATCTACTTTTTCTGTGTTTCACAACAATATTTGTCATTTTTGCTCAGGACACGGGAAAGACTTTCACATAAATCACTACTAAAAATTTTAACTTATCTTCCCATACATTAAGAAAAATTGCAAACTGCTTTTACTATAAGCTGTTCTAGTAACTATGTGATCTTAGGTTTCATTTTTAAAATGAGCACTGTACTCTAGTTGTACTTTCATTAGAGCCAGGGATATAAACTAGAACTAGAACATGGGATGGCAACGAGGCCAGGCCTGCCGGAATTGAGAGTGTACCTGCCAGGACCTGGTTCCTGTGCTCCGCATTGTGTGAGATTGCAGTCCGAGTTCCAGACAGGCTTGGCAGAGTTTCCTCCTATTCTGAAAACACCTGATTGCAATCCAGGGAAAATCACACACATTCAGTTAGATTCCTACCCCACCCCGTCACTGCTTTTTCCCCTCCTCCATAAGACAGTAAGACAATCAAAGGTGAGTTTCGTACGGGCTTGCCCACAGAACATCTAAAGGAGTCACTGTGTTTGACAGCGAGGCCTGTGGGGCCCTCACCAGGCCCCTGGGGACATCAGTGGCAACAGCACATGGAGTGGGATGGACAGCCAAAGGAAAAGCACTGTCAAGACCATCTTTCTAGAGTTTCCAGCCTGCCTCACATGCATGAATACTGCAAATGTAAATCACACAGTAATGGGAACAAGAAGAAAAAAATCAAATGGAGAAACATAGATTATATAATAGTGAAAAACTGTAACTCTTACCTGGGCCAAAGAGAAAATGTAGAGCCCCCAGTGAGGCAGCCATAGCACAAAAAAAGCTATCAGGACACTCTTGAGGATGACTGACAGGCTCTCGGCAATCACCTGCATACACATGGTAAAGGGTGCACTTCACATTATTAAAAACTAAAGATTCACAGGAATGATGAATAGGAACCTGGGGTAGTGGTTACCCTGGAAGCAGAGATGGGGCACACAGCACTGATAATGTTCTAGTTGGGCTGGGCAGTAAGTTCATGGATCTTCAGTATACCATCATGCTTCAAGATTTACACATATGCTATATATTCTTTTGTACAAATCAAATTACATATTTTGAAAGATGAAAAGTTACTATCAGTATACAATTAAAAATAAAATCACTAGAAAAATCTGAAAAACCTTTACAGTCCTCTTACATTATTATCTAAACTAATAACTTCACTATCAGCAAACCTCTTTTGCATTAATAGTATAGCAGAGGTAAACCTAAGCCCAGCCCAGATGCCAAATTTCAAGGGAATGAACTAAACTGATCATGTTACCTTTTTCCAAATTTCTTTTTAGACGCATTCTAAAAAAAAATCATTCTCTCCTAGGAAACATTTTTTTTTTTTAAGATTATTTATTTATTTATTTATTTGACAGAGAGAGAGACAGTGAGAGAGGGAACACAAGTGGGGGTAGTGGGAGGGGAAGAAACAGGCTTCCTGCGGAGCAGGGAGCCCGGCGGGGGGCTCGATCTCAGGACCCTGAGATCATGACCTGAGCCGAAGGCAGACGCTTAACGACTGAGCCACCCAGACGGCCCGTCCTAGGAAACATTTTTAAGAAACCACTCTTTCCCTTATTCTTCACATTTCCCATCAAAGCAGAAGGTACACTGACCTTGAGTTTGACAAACATCTGTGCTTGTGCCAAGACCCAGAAGGGCTCTCCCAGAAGCTCTACCACGGCCGAAAGGCCAAACACCACCACTCCAGTTCCATAGTGGGGGACGACATTAGGATCAGGCACTTCAAGCAACTGTAACCACACCCAGCCCAGGAGCAAGGACCAAAACACACCCAGGGGGACTCTAGAAAAGGGAAAAAATGTTTTTTAATATGCTAAATATAAAAATAAATGTATATTAAAATAGTAGCACTAAACAGAAAGGAAATATAATCATAAAAATAGCTACCACTTAGTAATGCACTTCCTACACACCAGGCACTAGATCCACCCCCTTTACCTCTTGGACACCTCACAACGATCCTGTCATTATCCCCATTTAAGTGATGAGGGAACTAAGGCTGATGACAAGCACTGGGTAATCTGGCCAAGGTCATGTACAGCTAGTCAAGGGCAGAAGCAGGACCTGATCCCCATCTAATGCCAAAACCTACACTCCTATGCACTGTGTTACGCTGACGAGATAAGCAAAATTCCCAGAAAGTACATGCCTGTTGTTGGCACCCTGAATGACTCAAAGACAGCATCCAATTGGTTTTTGCACCCAAATAAGCAACAGTCCAGTGCACAGTGTCCCTTTGCATGTGCACCACAGAGCACTTCAATATGACTGAGTAGTTAACTGTCATGCCTCGAATAAAATGAACACCTACCAGCCTCATGACAGTCATTTCCGTGAGGCAAGAAGGAGTTATGTAAGGCAGCACTGAGAAACAACCTCAAGCACCAGCCCTCCCTGCAGGGCTCTAACTGCAGAAAAGCCATTACAAGTTTTAGCTGATGTACTTGGCCTTCAAGAATATTCTAAAAGGCTCAGAACTGAAATCAACCTAACAAAATTGAAGAAAGATATAATGAAAGCCCTAAAAGGCTTTCAAAAAATACTAAGTGGTTGTTAAAAGCTCAGAAAGACCATGGGGGAAAGATTCGGGGTAAAGAAGATGGCAGAGGCCCAGGGAGACCCAGAATGGGCATCAGGAATGGCAGAAACAGTCTCCCAAGAGGGTAGAAACAGGGCTAGAAACCTGGCCCCGAGACCCCCACCCAGAGCTCTTGGCCATCCACAGAGAAAACAGCCAACAAATTCCTTCGATATGGACGCTCTCTCCTTCCTGTCCCACACCCAGTCCCCAGAAACACCCATGAAACTGAAGCTGGAGACAATTCAGCTTTGGGCAAAGTTGCTGTTTAACCTGTAAGACTTAAGACACTTGCTTTTGCACTGTCTCCTGCCAAAGCACAACTCACGTTAGCCACAAGAGGTTGAAGGTCTGGCTCCAGTCTTGCTGGGTGCCCCCACTCAGACATGCTCTACGGAAGGCCTCTCTGGCCAGGAAGATGGTGGTTGAGTAAAGCAGTGTTAGCCTGTAAAGGAAAGGCAGAAATCAATAATGACTCTAGTTTTTTTTTTCACAGAGAGAATTTCTGAGATTTTGCCAGCGACAGGAAGAAAAAGTCTCGGGCATAAACCACTGGTGGTGATGTGAAGGGCAGTGAGTTCCTACAGGGCCCCGTACTAATCTGATCCACTTGAACAACAGAGTTAGGAACTGAACAAGGGACACCTGAGTGTGTGCCTACGGAGCATTATGCCAGGATAGATACTGCTGCAGTGGCCCCCAAAACCAAACGCTTCACAGCAATAGGCAGAGGTGTGGCTCTACCATAAGGAGGAGAAAAGGACAAGATATGACCACACACGGCAAGGGGACCTCTTGGTCATCCTGAGACTGGTGACCCAAGAATTCTTATAAGAGACGCTGAGGCTCTACTGAGTGGAAGCTCTGGCCAAAAGTATCTCAGGACAGGCAACAGACTTGTTACAGAGGTCACTGCAACCCAGGTCAGCCAGGCTTGTCTGCATACTTCCCGGGTGGGCAGTACGTAGATGGACCCTCCCGCACCTGGGTGAGTGGTAGCTGAGGTTTTTCTCATCAACAGGCTCTGGCTGATGAAGCCAGACTGGGGACAGCCCAGGGCTAAGGTCTCTCTGAGGTTGTCCAAGGATCATGCTGCTACCCAGTGTTTCCGTCCACCACTGCCAATGAGGAGACTGAACCATATGTTAAGTAGGGGGCAGGCCTGACCACAGTTGTCAAAGCAGAGACGTGCCAATCTGGAGGAGACCAGATGGCAAGAAGCCCAAACTGTTTTCAAATCTGAGCACCTAAGAGGAGATTTGGTTTTCTTCCTTCCTGGTTTTTTGTTTTTTTAAAAAGATTTTATTTATTTATTTGAGAGAGAAAAAGAGAGAGATGAGCAGGGAGAGGGGCAGAGGGAGAAGCAGACTCTCTGCTGAGCAGGGAGCCCCACATGAGGCTCTATCCCAGGACCCCAGGATCATGACCTGAGCTGAAGGCAGACGCTTAACTGACTGAGCCACCCAAGTGCCCCCTCTTTTTAAAAATTTTTTAAAAAGATTTTATTTTTAAGTAATCTCTACACCCAACATAGGGACCGAACTCGCAACCCCAAGTTCAAAGTCACATGCTCCACCCACCAAGCAGCCAGGCACCCCTCTTCCTGCTTTTAAAACAGTATTTCTCAAAGTATGGTCCCTACTCTAAAATTACCTGAGGAGCTTGTCAAAATACTGATTCCTGGTCCCCTCCTCAGTCCCACCTAGTGCAAAACTCCCCAGATGATTCCTTTGCCTGTCAAAGTTTGAGAACCTTCTCTAAGCTCTGAGAATAGAGCCCAGAGCATATGTTTGGTGGGTATTCGATGGGAAATGTTGTCTGGAACACACTGTCTTGTTTATCAGGACATGAAGATACACCTGAGAAGCTGAGTTATTCTGAGCACTCACATCACTTCATATACTTTTGTGTCATTTGTGAATACAGAATATATGTGGGTGCCCTCGAACAGAAAGGAGAGTAGAGAAAACAAAATGGAGTCTAAAAGACAAAGTAAGGCAGCTTTCTAAGAGCCGCCGAGGGACTCCTGACAAGGACTCAAGCTCTCACCCTAACTACCATTTTCCAATTATAAAATTCACTGATGAGGGACGGCAGCCTGCTCCAGCCCTGCAATGATGAAGCACATCCTCATGTACTGCAGAATTCCTGCTTCCTTCGCTGTCAGCAGGACAAGAACACAGGATTAGACCTGAGACAGGGCTTGCAAGGAATTACTCCCACTCCTCTCCTGGGTTCTCCAAGTAGGCAAACCGGAACAGGTGGCAGAGAAGTGTGCATTTGGAGGTTGATAATGGCAAACGCTCCATGGAGCCATTAAAAGCAACATTGCCTGCTCATTCCCCCACCCCGGCATACTCTTCCTCAGCCCACTGCTAAAACACCCCGCTTCTGGGAAAGGCCTATGCTTATAAAATCTGCGGGTGACACACAGGTACCCTCACTAGGGGCGTGAGTTGTGGGCAATGCCAGGGCACGTCCCTTCTTACCTGACATTCACTATGCCAACGATTTCCTTTGATAGGAAGCGAAGAATAAATGCATTCAAGACAAAGGTGATCAATCGAAACAACACCTACAGATAAAGGGGAAAAATTCGTGAGAATAAATTATGTTGGGAATATTTATTTGTGAAATGAAAACAATGTGGCTGTTCTTCCTAATAACGTACTGACATACAGCAGCTTTGCCACAGAGACCCTCTCAAAAAAGCGCCACCGGTCTGCATTTCTTCTGAAATTTTCCTTGAGGTCCTTGAGGTCCTAAGCACATCTGTGCGGTGGTCAAAGAACCCACAAAGACACTTGGAAGGCTCTCTAATTATTGATAAGAGGGAGCCCCTGACATAGTCTGTGAATTTCTTCAGGTTCAAGGTTAGGCACTCCAGAAGACAGAGAATTCTAGTTAGTGCTTCCCATTGGCCCTCCCTCCAGCCTGTTTAGAAATAGCACACGCTTAGCAAGTGGGAGCCTGCAGGGTATGGCAGAATCTCTAGGAATCACAGGGTCTAATTTCTCTTTTTTCTCTGCCTAGTAATATCTGGGGATTCTGATAATGACACTTAATCTCTTTGAACTTGTCTTCTTAATTAGAAAAGAAAAAAGCCTGTATTTATTTTCTAAATATTTGCCACTTTCCTGAGAGGAGTTGAAATACCTTTTTTTTTTTTTTAATTTGAATACAGGGGTTTCTGGCTGGCTCAGCCAGTAGAGCATATGACTCTTGATCTTGGGGTTATGAGTTTGAGCCCCAAGCTGAGTGTAGAGATTACTTAGAAATAAAATCCTTAAAAAATTTTTGAGTACCGTTGACACACAATGAAGTAACTTGCAGTAAATGACAACTGCAAATAATAAGATAATATAAAATGGGGAAAGAGAGACAGGGTCCAGCTATTGCCATCTGAAGGGGATATATCCCAAGATTTCAAACCTGTCAATTCAAGAAAACTACCTGAGCAAAGAATTCTCCCAGGAGACAGAGAACAACAGGGTGCTAAGTGGTGATGCTAAGTGGGGATGTTGACCAGGTACAAACCTCAGCCCCCCTCTGCATTCAGGCAGCACGGCAGGTCTAACTCAAGTGCACTCCATAGCGAATGACAAATCACTCTCAGAGTGACCTGTGAACAGCTGCAATTTGTTTGGTTTTTTGAGAGAGCGAGAGCGAGAGAGAGCGCACACCCTTGTTGGGGGGGGAATGGGGAGCAAGAGGAGGGAGCAGAGGGAGGGGGACAGAGAGAATCTTAAAATCTCGAGCAGGTTCCACACCCAGTGTGGAGCCAGACTCGGGGCTCGAGCTCACAATCCTGAGATCATGACTTGAGCCGAAATCAAGAGTTGGATGCTTAACTGACTGAGCCACCCACACTCCCCTCAACAGCTGAACTTTGAAAGATTAAATCAAAATATGTCGATGGGCCATGATGGTTTGAAAATCTCTGGGGAAAGGTATGACCAAAAACGGAGAGTACAATTTAACACTGTCAGTGTCTGTAACACTGAAGTGTCACAGAGCAACAAGGTCTCTAAAGCCAAGCTACCACAATCTTAACCTTTATGGAGTCAAAGGTGGCCTTTTGAGAAAGGCCCAATGAAAGCTCTGTAGCTCTCCTTGGAAACATGCAGATACATACATACCAAATTCTTGACTCAATTCTAGACATTTGAAGCCAATTCATGGAGCCCTGAATGGAAAAAGCGCTCAGCTCAGAGTCTCAAATCACCATTTAGCTGTTAAACCCATCATCTCCTAACTCCTATGAGCCTCAATTTCCTTCTGTCAAATGAGGCTACCTATCTCATAGGGTTGAGAACAAGGATCAAACAAGATTGTGAAGGTGAAAGCATTTTTGAAAAATACATACAGGGGCTCCTGGGTGGCTCAGTTGGTTAAGTGACTGCCTTCGGCTCAGGTCATGATCCTGGAGTCCCGGGATCGAGCCCCGCATCAGGCTCCCTGCTTGGCAGGGAGTCTGCTTCTCCCTCTGACCCTCTTCCCTCTCGTGCTCTCTGTCTCTCATTCTCTCTCTCTCAAATAAATAAAATCTTTAAAAAAAAAAAAAGAAAAATACATACAAATGAAAGACCTTAATACTTTCACTAAGACCAGCTCAGAATTAAGACAGAGAATAAGCTCTCAAATTCTTGCAGAATACAATGTAATTGCAAATTTATCTCAACTGTCTGCATTGTAATTTGAGAACGCATAGAAGATTAAACATACACGGATTAAGACACTCAGGAAGCCTAGATTATGGCTATATTTTTAAAACAATGTATACCTATTTATGCTAACTTAAAAGTCAAAGTTGTCATTGTCTAAGAAAATGTCTCAGGCTATATCCCTACCTCCTCATTGGTTTGAAGAAAGGGTTGAGTTAATGATGCTCTGAAGTTGTTCATGCTACCCAGAATTTGCTCCATATAGTGGCCCTTATTAGCAACACAATCTTCATTTAACTTTGTAAAGGACTTTACAGTTTATATTTTATATTAAAAATGAGGGAGGGGCGCCTGGGTGGCTCAGTTGTTAGGCGTCTGCCTTCAGCTCGGGTCATGATCCCAGGGTCCTGGGATGGAGTCCCGCATCGGGCTCCCTGCTACGCGGGAAGCCTGCTTCTCCCTCTCCCGCTCCCCCTGCTTGTGTTCCCTCTCTGTGTCTCTCTCTGTCAAATAAATAAAATCTAAAAAAAAAAAAAAAGTGGGATTTATTACATGCATTGTATATATATTGTGGGTTTTTTTTTAAATTTCAGTTAACATACAGTGCCCAATATTGGTTTCTGGAGTAGAATTCAGTGATTCATCCAGTACACGCAACACCCAGTGCTCATCATAAGTGCCCTCTTTAATACCCATCACCCATCTAGCCCATCCGCCATCCACCTCCCTCAAGGGCTTTACAGTTTAGAAACAGCTCTTTCACATCTGTTAATCATTTGACCCTTCAAAGCAACTGGGTAAACTCACAGGAAGCAAATTAAGACTCAGAGCAAAGTGATTTGCCCAATGTCACACAAAAATCATATGACCCAGCTTCACTTTATAGGTAGGCCACGTGACTCCTAGTCCATTGTATTTTCTGCTAAGATGTGGTCTGTTTTTTTATGAATCCAATCTGGGTGGTAAGGTATCATCAAAGCCTTAACAATCAGCATTGTGGATAAAGCACTGAACTCAGTTATTTATGTTGTGGAATAGAAGAAAAAAGACTTGGTAAATTCACGGTTCACCTACTCTAGGGTTAGGTGAATGTTTATTAAACACATACCTTGTGCAAGGAACTCTTCTACATGTTTTATGTGATTATTTCATTTCATCCCTATAATGACCATTTTAAAAATCCTTATTACCATAATAAGAATACCTAACATTTACTAAGTACTTATAATGAGCTAGGCACTTAACAGTCAAGCCATCTAATCTTGCTAATGACCCTAGGAGGTTGCATTATTGTTCTCATTTAAGATAAGGAAAACTGACGCTCAAAGTTAAGTGATTTTTCACAAGAGCAGGGATCTGCCAAGTAACAAGGACTAAGTGAGCGCAAGTGTGCGGGGTTCTCGTAATATCCAAGTGAAACACTGCCTCTAAAATAAGGGGGAGGGTGGATTCAGGACTCTTCTGAGTAAGGGCTGAATGGCTTAAGAGTGTAACACAGAAAAACTGAGCCACTCAGAATGACCAGCTGCTAGGGTTAAGAGAATCTTTAGAGACCATTTGGACCAATTGGCATGTACCTTATCTGAAAGATGATGAAAATTAAGGCCAAGAAGGGGAAGTAACTTATCCAAGGTCACCCAGCCAGAAGGAAAATGCAGCCAATATTTACTAAGTGCATACTAAGAGTCAGGTACAGCATTAAGTACAATTATCTGAATGACTCCAGTCAAGCCTCATAGCAACTTTATGAGCTAGGAACTATTATGATCCCAATTTTCCGATGAGGAGCTGAGGCATAACAGAAGTCCTTTGTCCTGGGTCATGCAGCAAGCACAAGGTAGAACCAGGATTCCTACACCCAGATATCTTTTTCTTCGTTATGCCATACTGTCTCTCTGAACTCAGTGGGAGTCAGAGCGTTTGAAAAAGGTGTTTGAGGGTCAGCGATGGGGCATGGAGAAAGTGAACCCCTTCCCTTAAAAGCATCAGATTCTAGAGCACCAAAGGCACCCCGTCACCTGACCTGTCTCCTACTACCATATGGGAGATACAGCGCTCAGAACGAAAGTGACTTGTTTGCAGTCTCCCAGCCAGGGCTCTGCACTCCAGGCCCAGGCACCCCTTCTCCGCCGCCACTGCCTCCTGTCCAACCACCCCCCTGTAAGTGGGGTCCATGCCGGGACTGGGTGTGCCCCAGGGCGCGCTCTCAAGGGCCCCAGGGCCGCCTCCCTGCGCATCCCAGCTGCGGCTCAGGCTGGGGCCGGCCGGGCAGAGAGTACCTGCAGGAGCAGACCGGAGGAGGCCAGGCGGGCCGCTTGACCCAGCACCTCCCGGCTGCCCATAGCTTCGGTACCCGCCTTCGGTCACCGGGAAACGCCACCGCCAACAGGCCTCGTCGCAAGAGGATAGCGTCACGGAGCGCCTCGCTCTCTGATTGGTGATCTTGGGGCAGCGGAGGCGGAGCACGAGAGGTTCTGGCCCATTAAGCGGCCGGCTTGAGTGACGTCAGTGTGCCTGCGCCGCATCTCTCCTCTCGTTTGGGTTGAGCTTGTGAGTTTTCTGTCCCTGTCCCTCCTCGTCCGAAGTAAGTTAGGAGAAGCTGTTAAAGTAGCCAAAATCCCTTCCCTGAGGCTCTCAGCCTACCAACCAAGAAACACTAACTTCCCCGGCCTCGTTCATAAGATTCTTGCCTTTTGGCCTTGGTTTACAAAGTTGCGCCTCAGCCCCCAGAATGAGGACGGGAATTGTCAGCTTTTTACACAGAAAGGACTGAAGGACCGGAAGTTAAATTAGCATTTTCACGAGTGTGGTTTTGTGTAATCCTTTCTAAAGAGCTGAGAATTGGACCCTGTTGTCAGATGAGTAAGATGAGATGTGGAGATGTGAGGTGACCTGTTCAAATCTGCACAACTTGTGCCTGAGTGGAGCCGACCCTGGGCTTCAGATCCTAAACTTTTGCTTACATGCTACCAGTTTTGAGGATACAGCAGAGGAATGGCCGGGAAATGCTTTATAAAACGTATAAAGGTGATGGCATCACCTTGCTCTGCCATTGTTCTTATCTTCTGTGCAGTCTTAGGAAGCCCACTTTCCCAGTTTCTTTTAGGCCTTCCCTGATTTGACCCCAGTCCACCTTCTGAACCACCTTTCACACCACCACTGCCCTTTTCCAACACTCTCCAGGCCTAGCCATTACGAACCCTCACCATTCCATGAACAGCCCTATCTCCTTGGCCTTCGTTCCGGGTTGCCCTCTGCCCAAAGTGCCTTCCCTGCTGGCATTCCCCACCAACCACTCTCCCAGACCCCATTGTCCTGACTTTCCTGAGTACTACACTCAGCACCTGCTATGGACTGAATGTTGGTGTCCTCCCTAAATTCATGTTGAAGCCCTAATCCCCAATGTGACGGTACTTGGGGTTGGGGCCTTTGGGAGGTAGTGGGTCATGAGCGTGGTACCCTCATGAATGGGGTTAGTGCCCTTATAAGAGGAGACAAGAGAGAGAGGAATGCTCTCTCTCTGCCATATGAGGATACAGCGAGAAGGCAGCCATCTACAAACCAGCCAGCACTTTATCTTGGACTTTGCAGCTTCCAGAACTGCAATAAATAAATGCCTGTTATTTAAGCCACCTAGACCTTGGTATGTTGTTATAGCAGCCTAAGCACCTGGAAAACACTTTGTGACCTTTATAGCTTCTAGCCCAGTCTGCTTTGCAGTGAAGAGGGTAGAATATGTGTCTCTGCCTAAACAGCACATGAGCTTTAAGAAGGCAAGAGTGAAGCCCACCTGGCTTTGCCTCCTGCAGCAGTGCTGGAGAAGGCTCCTAGGAGTTCCATAAATGCTTCCTGCCGTGTGACAGCTGCTATTGCTGTTGGAAACAGACCACAGGGCTCAAGGCCTATGCCCTCTCCTCCCCAACTCCATCTTGCCAGAGTAATCAAACTGTGTCTAATGGTAGAGGTTCAGAATGTGTTTGACTATGAAACAGACCTGGCCCTGAATCCTCATTCCATTACTCACTACCCTGGTAACCTCAGTATGCTCATATTGTAGATAGATAGATACTATCTATCTGTTCTGTGAGGGTAATCATAAGAATGAAAGCAGATAAAAGTCTGGCCCTTCAGGAATCTAAAATCTAGTGGAAGGGAGACTGACTGAAACAGTCCTAATAATAACATTTCACATAGTGATAAGTGCCATGAGAAAAATGAAACCAGATAAGGTAAGAGAGGCTGTTGGAGGGGGAGGGGACATGTTGTTCTGGAAGGCAGGGTAAATCAGGCAACCATCTGGGAGAGGAGTGTGCCTAGAGAGGAGGGCAAAGTGCTAGAGGGTCAGCCTAATGTATTTGGCCTAATGGCTGAGTTGCCCAAGGGCTTGACCTGGGCAGCTTGCCCATCCCCATGGACCTTGAGCTGGCAGATGAGGTAGGCTCCTGCACCCTTTATCCCCAGCCAAGCAGCTGCCTCCTCCATGGCTCGTCCCTGAAGCAGAATCAACCAAGAGCTCTTCATGTCCACATATTCCTAACCCTGGGCATCCTGGTGGGCTGGTCTAGGAGGGACGAGGAGATCATTTTGCTGGGGGCAAAGAAGCCAAAAGGGAAATGCTCCAAGCTAAGCCCAAAGAGCAAAGCCTCAGGGGAGTCCAGGATACAGACTCTGAGGGGTTCACAGAGTTGGGGGCCTTTTTCTCTCATTCTGGAGGTTAGGACTTAGTAAGGAGAGACTGAGCATGCACTTTGTGCTCAGAGCCATACTGGGTGCTGGGGTGGGTGGGGAAAGGAGCCGTGCTAAAGGTCAATGGGCACTGACCGCCGACTCCATGGTAGGCACCTGTGTGTGCATTGTACATGCATGTTTCAACTTCTTTATCCCCTTCAACACCTCTTGGGGTGGGTATTACAGACGAGGATAATGAAGCACAGAGATGTTAGTGACTCACCCCGGGTCATTCACCTAGGGAGCTGTCAAGCTGGTATTTGAACCTAGATGCTTTCTGACTCTAAATGCTTGAAGATGTTCCTGCCCTCAAAAAGCTTCAGGTCTCAAAGGAGACCTAAGAGTCCCCATATCTAAATCACAGAGAACATATGTGGCATCGAGGGGTTAGACTCTGGGAGGACTGCAGTGGTCGAGTGGCAGTGGGCTTGGAGGCTTCCCTCATCTCCGTGCTGAGCCTCCCCAAAGGCCTTGCCTCTCCTAAGAGCACTGGCACCCACAGGGCATGGCACAATCCACAGGTTTTGTGTAGAGGGCTAAGCTCAGGGCTGGTGAACTGTTGCCTGCTGGCTGTTGCCTGTTTTGTGCAGCCTCCAAACTAAGAACGGGTTTTACATTTTCAAATGGTTGTGGGAAAAAATCAAAAGAAGAATATTTGATGACACATGAGAAGTATATGAAATTCAAATTCCAGCATCCACAAATAAATCGGAGCACAACCACATGCACCCACTTGTCTGCATGCTGTCTGCAGCTACTGTCGTGCTACAAGAGCAGAATAGTGTGTCCCCCAAAGCTGAAAACATTTACCTATCTGGCCTTTTGCAGAAAACGTTTGTTGATCCTGGTGATCACTGTTGAGCCCCAGCGCCTGGACATGCAGTAGACATTTGGATATTGAATGAATGAATGCATGGATAAATGAATGATGAAGCACTAGGAAAAAGGGGAAGATGAGAAGGGTTCTTCCCCAGGGATCACCTGGTTTGGAGAACCAGTGATCCCTGGAGAACACCAGACTATAATTGGTGGTCACTGAAGGAGCTGTTTCCCCAGCCTACCCCCCTCCATCTTGCCCTCTGTGCCAGGTAGCCTCCCTGCCAAGGAAAGCTGACCCAAGCAGCCTATTTTATTACAAAGCTAGAGGGAGTGCCAGGGCTGACGCCAAGCCAGCTAGGCTCCCCGGGCAGGGAGGGGGGGCTGCCAGCGGGTGGCAAGGTAGCAGGGAAGCTATGGCTAATTGTGCCTTGGGCCTCAGCTGAGTGGAGGAGGGGGAGCTGGGCTCCATCCCAGGCACCAGCCAGTAGGTGGCGGGAGTCTTGGGTGAGGGCCCTGCCCTCCCATGCTGCCCCAAGAACCTCCCCCAGGGCCCCTCCCAGAAGGAGAACCTCAAGGCTCTGCCCCTCCCTCAGAAGTCCCCAGGCGTGAGAACACAGCTGTATAACTAATAGTCCACATTTGCTGAACCCATGTAGGCACGGTGTCAGGCACTTCGCTTTCATGATCTCATTTTACTCCCACAGCAGCCCCAAGAGGTAGATACCCTTATTATCCCCATTTTACAGACCAAGAAACTGAGGCTCAATGAGGTTAAGGGACTTGCCCAAGGGCTAGTAAATAGGGGTCCTGGAATTTGCCTCTGGCATTGTGGCTCTCAGACCCCAAACCAGGACTGAACCAGTGTTCATTGTTAGTGCTGATTCCTGGGTTCCACCTCAGCAGTTCTAACTCAAGAGGCTGGGATGGGCCTGGGAATTTACACTAACGAGCACCCTGGGTGGTTCTGATACAGTGGATCAGGCTCTGAGAAGTACTGCCTAAGGGTACTTCTTCAGGCACCCTGCAGAAGCTGCCTCCTTTTGGGCGCCTGGGTGGCTCAATCCATTAAGCGTCTGCCTTGGGCTCAGGTCATGATCCCAAGGTCTGGGGATCAAGCCCCTCATTGGGCTCCCTGCTCACAGGGACCCTGCTTCTCCCTCTCCTCCCTGCTTGTGCTTTCTCTCGCTACCTCTTTCTCTTTCAGATAAATAAATAAAATCTTAAAAAAAAAAGAAAAAACAGAAAACTGCCTCCTTTGATGAGCTGAAAGAGTCTGTCTGCTTAAAGCTGGCAAAGCAAGTCCTGAGATCTGCCCCCAGGCTTGTCCAGCCTGCAAGGGGTCTTGCTGTCAGGACTGGTTTGTGGGTCAGTGGTCAGGGCAGCAGGGTCTGGAGGCAGTGCCTGGGTGAGGGCCTTGGGGAAATTCCTTGCCAGGAAGGGTGTACGGTGCAGCCCTGGGGTCCCAGGATCTGCCCATGTGTTGAGGGTGAGCAGCCATAGGCCCAAGGTTCTGCTGGCTCCTCTGGGCATGGACTTGTGCGGAGACAGGAGAGTGACCTGTCATGCACACAGTGTGGTGCAGTTCAATGCAGCCTTGATTTCGGAGCCACCACCCCGTGCTGTGCTTTGGGAGGGGGCACAAGGGTGAATGAGCCACAATCACTGCACTCTCAGAGCCTGGGGTCCCTCCCCAGGAGAATGCAAGAGCGATACCAGGCAAGCTGAGGTGGAAAAAAATGGGCCAGGAGAATTCAGGGGAAGGACTCAGATCTTTCTGGCTGGGGCATTAGCGAAGCTTTCCTGCAGAGGCTGTTTTTGAGCTGTGCGCAAACGGGCAGGAGG